TACCATTAGGAACTTGCAATTCATAGTTGGACACTTCATCTTTTGAAAACAAGATTTTTAAAAGTTAATAGATAAAAATATTATTTCAAGTAGCAAATGGAAGATCTGATCACTTATTATTTGTTTCTACTCATTGAGGAATTTTATTAGGTACATATCTAAATATCCATTTATTTATCTTTATAAAAATAAAGGATGTACTTTGGTCTCATTGAAGTACTATCATTTGGCTATTGTAACTTTATAGAAACTGTTTTATATGTGTTCATATAAAACAAAGTAGACTTTAGAAATATAATGAAAAGAAATTAGTTTTTATTGAAGTGACAAAAGTATTTGTGTCTATACCTAGACTATAAGTAAATAAATATATGAATAGATTTATATGTAGATGATTGATATGTAAGCAAAGAGATATATTAAGAGATTTTGAACATATAGAGGAATAGATACTAGTACATAAGTTTGAGAGTTCTTAAGTAATGTTATATTACAGCCACTCTATATAGCATATATTTCAATACAAATATAATCATTTTTCAATTTAGTTTCATGCATGCTGGTTTACAAAATTGTTACAGAGTTTCGTGCATAATAAATCCCTCACCAAGCCTTCACCCTGAGTGTCCACTTCCCTCCACAATTGTCTCAGTGTCTTCATACATCTCATTCTTCCGTCACCTTCCCTTCCCTGTGTTAGCTTCCACCTGAGAAAGACAAATTCTCAGTTTCTGTATTCTTTGGGTATTTGTTATACCCACATCCTGTTTGTTCATATCCCACATATGAGAGAGCTTATTCTGTGTTTGTCCCTCTCTTTCTAAGACAACTCAACAAAATACCCTTCAGGTTCATCCAAAAAGCAACAAATTTCAAGATTTCATCTTTTCTTTTTTAATTTAATTTTGTTTTAATAATATTGCTCATAGCCATGTATCACATTCAATATTCCAACACCAATCCCACCACCATTAATTTGAATCTTCCCACCACCACCCAAGCCTGTCCCAAAGTAAGTCCTAAGTAATTTATTTTGTATGGTTTGTTATAAATAATGCATTAAAAATGATCCAAAAAAAGTTTCTTTAGAAGAAAATGTGTGAATATTTTTATCTCACCCTAGAGCCATTAATCCCTTGTATGACATTATTAATATGTTGTTACATGTTGAAACTTGTGTGCTAATATTTATTTATCTATTTATTTTTGGATCACTATCCATTGCCTTCTACCTTAACCGATTAAATGTGGTGTGCTACTCTTTGTACATCATTAGAGTAGAGTATGAAATCTCCCACAGCCGCAAATGCACGTGCACTACAGGAATTCTAAAATTCTAATTCTAAAATTTAAAACAGGGTGATAAATTGGAAATGACTTTAGGAGATTCAGAAGCGTCTCTGTAGCATGTGGCTTTCTACCAAGACTTATTTGTGAGTCTCTGGATCGTGGCCATTAAAGAGGTTACATGGCACCAGAGGCAGTTCATGGGTGTGGCCACCAGACTCCAGGAAAGACAGGGAAATGGGGGAAGGTAGCTCATTCCCAACTCCACAACAGCTGGATATTTCAGTCACAAGAAATGCATACCTTTTTTTTAAGCATATTAAATCTCATGCATGAGGGTCTTATCTCAAGCCTGTGGATATTAGTCATGAGCATGAACAGCAATGTGTTCTGGAGGTTTTCGGCTGCTGGGGCTGCATGGGAATTGGTGTTTGGCTCACTTTTCCAGCTATGAGGTGCCCCAGAAATGAAGTCCAGCCTGGCATGGCATTTTGAAACCTCTCTCTCATTTTTTCTTATAGCTGAGTAGTATTCCATTGTGTATATGTGCCATAGTTTCTTTACCCACTAATCTATTCTTGAACAATTGAATTGTTTTCAGATTTAGCTATTGTGCATAGTGCTATAATGAACATAAGAATGCAAATTTTTTCTGTTTTGTAATTTTTCCTCTTGTGATATATGACATGAAGTAGAGCTACTGGTCAAGTTCTAGGTTTTTGAGGAGTGTCCATGTTGTTTTCTGAAAAGACTTAATGTCATAGTGTGTTCTTCCTAAATTATCCATATGATAAGATTTTGTATCTAGTTTTTAATCCAATTTGATTTGACTTTCATGTATGGTGTTAGGTCTTCATATGGCCAAAATGTTATCCCCACACTTGGTTAAGGAGGCTTTACTTGGCCCATTTTACATTTTTTGTCTTCTTTATTAAAGACAACCCGAGGATATGTCTCTGAACTCAGTTCTGGTTCATTGATTGCAGGGTCTGAACTTATTCCAATAGCACACTGCTTTGATAACTATACAATGATATATAGGCCAGACTGAAGTTTGTAAAGAGACGTCTTCATCTTCATTTTTCCTATTATTACTCGGCTAGTTGGTGGGGGAAGGAACTTATTGTTCCATATAAATTTCAAGTGTGTTTGAACTACATCTTTAAAAATTTCATGGGTATATTGATCGGATCTGTATTGAATATGTATAGTGCTTTGGGCAAGACTGACATTTTGACAATGTGGATCATCGCTATCCAAGAACAGAACATGTGTTTTCATTTCCTCATGTCATCTTCTATTTCCTTTAGAAGTGATTTATAGTTTTCTCTGTATAAGTCTTTCTCTGCTTTTTTGTTTGGGGGGTAAACCAATGGTTCTTGGGATTACTCCTGACTTTAAACTCAAGGATCACTACTGATGGATCTTGGGGGAATTTACGGAGTGCCAGAGATCAAACCCATGGACCCAGGCTGGCCATGTGCAAGGCAAGCACATTTCTTGCTGTAATATTGTTTTAACGTTCACCTCTGTTATTGGTTCCAGGTACTTGACTTTCTAAGGTATAACTGTGAATTGAGTCATTTAAAAAATTTATCTCTTCTCCATTTTACATGTATATATAGAAGTCATAGATTTGTGCACATATATTTGTAGCCTACTTCTTTACTGTGAAAGTCTACTGTTTCTAAAAGATTCTTTGTAAAGTCTTTAGGGTTTTTTAGGTTAACAATCATGTCATCTGAATCTAGTATTATTTTGACTTCTTCTCCAATCGGTTTCCCCTTAATATCTCTAAATGCTGTGGCAAGGCTTTTAAGCATTATCTTGAATAGTAGTGGTGAGAGTGAACCACATTTCCTTTGCCTGATGAAAGCTTTCAGGTTTTTACCATTGAGTCTAATGTTTGCTGTGGGCTTGTAGTAAGTGGCTATAATAACATTGAGAAAAGTTTCTTCAACTCTCACGTTTTGAGAGGTTTTATCAAGAGTGAATGTTGGATCTTATTGAATTCTTTTTTTAATCTGTTGTTATTGTCATGTAGATTTGATTTTTCTTTATGTTGATGTGGTATATTATGGTGATTGACTTGTATGTATTACACTATTCTTGCATTCTCTGTCATTGTGAATGATCTCTTTTGTAAGATAACAATGTTCTGTCCTTCCTGCATAACCTCAGGAATAGTTGATAGTTCATTGGACTGAGGAAAAGAGAAAAACACCTTAAGAGGTATCTTGCCCTTGAGCAGTCAGGAAGGGCTTCCTTATGTTGATTTGGCTACCTGACTGGGTGGAGTGTCAGCCCAGACTAGAGGGGAGATGGAGAAGGAGAGAGCAGGGGCTGAAAGATGGACTACTGAGAGATTAGCAAGGGGAACATGTGCTTGAGAGAACCTAGGCCCTCCGTAACGTAAGTTCTTCTATGGGATAAACTTCCTTGTAATAAACTGCCACTAAGATCAACTGGCCTGGCCCTCGTCTCTTCCTTCATCTGCCCTTGGCCAACAGCCGTCCCGATGCAGGCCACACACAGCGGCTCTAGGGCACCGAACATGGGCGGTGAGATAGAGCCGTCCAGAGAGCCCGCGAACACACAACCTTCTGCGTGCATAGTTTTTTACACTCTTTGATGTATTCTTAGATTTGGTTGGTTAATATTTTGTTGAGAATCTTTATATCTATGTTAATCAGGGATAGAGACTATAGTTTCCTTTTTTATGTCTCTATGTATTAGGATTACACTTGCCTCATAGACAATATATGGAGGACTTCTATTTATCCAACTTTCTAGATACAAATAAAGTCTTACACATGGAACTATAATATATAACATATTCTATAAAACATATGCGAATGTTATATATAGTGACTATATGATAAACTGGGCTATAAATTCTTTATCTCACTAACTAGTAGATATACTGCAAAAGTTCAAGGTAAACAACGTTTTTAAAATTAATTTTATGTTATACCTTCAACAGAATAAAATTGAAACATACAAATAATTTGAAGTGTCAATATTATGTTATTTCTACTCTCTCCTTTTACATCATTTAGATGACCCTTGTAACACAATTTTATTTTAAATATTTTGCTCCAATAGCATAAAGTCAGCCTAGAGCAATAGCACAGCGGGTAGGGCGCTTGTCTTGCATGCAGCCAACCAGGGTCTACCCCGATTCAATTCCTCCAACCCTCTCAGAGAGCTCAGCAAGCTACTGAGAGTATTGCGCCCGCAGGGCAAAGCCTGGCAAGCTAACTGTGGGTATTCGGTATGCCAAAACAAAACAAAACAGTAATAGGTCTCACAATTGAGATGTCACTGGTGTCTGCTCTAGCAAATCAATGAACAATGGGAAGACAATGCTACAATGCTACTATACCTGTATAATATTCTAAGGTGTTCATTGTGATAATTTGTTTATTCAAGGCTGAAAATAAATTCAAATAATCTAATAAATAATAACTCCTCTTGATTGAATGGTTTACTATACCAGATGACTAGTTTTGAAGGTCAGTCATTCTCACATTTCTCAGAAAAATAGATATTACTATTCTTCCTGTACTTGGAAACAAATTATCCAAGATGAATTTTAGCTACTGCTTCTGACAGTTGAATACAAGCCTACAGAAATTACTTTTATGTTACTTATTCTGTTTAGTGCATTGGAAACTGTCTGATTTCTAATTTTTTTCTCTCTTTGACTTTAGGATTTGATACAAGTATTTTGCCAATTTGCAAGGATTCTCTTGGTTGGATGTTTAACAGACTTGATACAAACTATGACCTGCTACTGGATCAATCAGAACTTGGAAGCATTTACCTTGATAAGAATGAACACTGTACTAAGGCATTCTTCAATTCTTGTGACACGTACAAAGACAGTTTAATATCTAACAATGAATGGTGCTACTGCTTCCAGAGACAGCAAGGTAAAGGATGAAACACTTAACTGATATAGCTGGTCGACCTGTATGTCTAGTTTTATCAATTCCTTCATGATTAAAAGAGTACACTGTATTCATTCATATTCAAGTATATTTTTCTAATTAGTGTGTTTAATAAAACAACAAATTAGCAGCATGTTAGACAATATAACTTTTCTTATGTTATAAAACATGCTAAATAAGATGGAAAATACTAATCAATATTTTTATTAATGTACTTCATTATAGTTTTCATTATAAACTCTAAGAAGCACATAGAGATATGAGAAGCACATAGATATTAAAAGTAATCATTAAAATTAATTTACTATCAGCTTTGCCCCTGGTAATAATAAATGCTTTTTTTTTTAATCAGTATACTGTGGAGTTTTAATGTTCTGTTTTGTGAGCTGATTAAATGAGCTGAATGAATCAAATGATTCACCATTAAGTTATTTTTCACTCGATTTTGAAATGCCATTTTTGTTAAAATTTTTCAAGATCACTTGCTTTTTATAAAAATTCACTAACAGGGGAAATGCCCTGCCACAAGGGCAGGGTGGGATGGTGGGGATGGGGGGTGGGAGGGATGTTGCGACCCATGGTGGTGGAGGATGGGCACTGGTGGAGGGATGGGGACTTGATCATTGTATAACTGAAACCCAAACACAAAAATTTGTAAGTTTATAACTGTACCTCATGGTGTTTCACTAATAAAAAAAATTCACTAACAAAGAAAATCTTGTTTTTCTGGAAGAGGTAGTACAACTAAAAAAGTTGGAATAAGGCAAAGTTCTTTATTACGAAATATACGTATGAAAATGGAGTTTTTCTTACAAAATCAAATGATAGTTAAAATTAAATATGTAGAGAAATAGATTCTGTAATTTTATGTAATGATGATGTTTGGGAGACTGAGGAAAAGACTGTAAGTTTGATGCTAAAATAAACAAGCTGGAAGTTTGACTAATGAAATGTATCAGCCATTGTCAATGTGTTTTTAAAATTATGGACAGGAGAATGAACTGGGTACTTTAAACTGTATTAATGATTCTTAGTGTCTTATACATAAGACTGGCATGTTATAAAGCATTGGATATGGGTATTTTACTATTTCAATTACATTCTTATATAGTCATTATTAAGTGAAATAGTGATCTATAAATTGATTAGTGGAAAATCAACATTGGGGCTTGTAAAATAGTATTTCTATAAAACATTCTAAGCAAATTCTAAAGATTGTAGTTTTACTATTAAAATAATTTAATTCATATGTACGCTGTTGGTTTTAATGTTTGACGCGTTCTTTAGTTGTTACTAAACATTCCTAAAATACTGTACCTGAATACTAATGATCATTGGACACTTAAAAATGCAAACTTGGGTGAAGTGAAATGGCCCTTGGGTCATTTGCCTTGCAGGGGTGCAACACAGTTTCAACCCCATATTGTCCCTTTGTCCTTTTGTGGTCCTCTGAGGTCTTCCTAAGAGCACAGAGCCAGGAGTAAGCCCTGAGTGCTACAGGAGATAGCCAACAATGTTTTTTAAGAAAAAAAAATCATTGTAGATTAAAATGTAAAGCAACAGATAATGGCAAATAAAGGAGCAATCTCTTACCTGATAACAGCTGTCATTTAACTTTAAAATTGTTTAATTTCAAAAACTTCACTTTTTGATGACAATTATACAGAACATTATTGTGTACACATAAGCATGTGCAAATGGCCTGCTTTTTCTTCTCTAGAAATGATTTCATCTTGTAAAAGTCTTGGATTTTGAAACTGTGTTTGTAGAATTGATTCAAGGACCCAAAGTAAATTTTGCTTTATATATTTTTAGTATTGGACCAACTACCAACTACTGACAGACAAGCGATAGCACAGTGGGTAGGGCATTTGTCTTGCATGCAGCAGACCCGGGTTCGATTCCTCTGTCCCTCTTGGAGAGCCTGGCAAGCTACCGAGAGTATCCCGTTCACCTGGCAGAGCCTGGCAAGCTCCCCGTGGCGTATTTGATGTGCTCAAAACAGTAACAACAAGTCTCACAATGGAGACGCTACTGGTGCCTGCTCCAGCAAAAAACAATGGGAGGATGGTGCTTCTGATGGATGGTGGTATCACTGGCATCCTGTTGTTCATCGATTGCCTCGAGCAGGCCCCAGTAACGTCTCCTTCGTCATAGCCCTGAGATTTTAAAAAGTGCCACAGTCGAGGTTCTTTCAAGATCAGGAGAATGAGACCCATGGTGGTATTTTTAGTATTAAGCATGTTTTTCCAAATAGGGTCTATTCATACAAGGCTATTCTCTATCGTGAAACAAAGTAAAATAATTACATCAATGATGTCCAGACTGGTTGAAGAATTTATATAATTTCCTCAAAGCTTAGGAGAGCATTGCTGATTAAGCTACTTGCCTTCAGATGCTAGAAGTGTTACAAAAGCTGTGTCAAGGTTTCTGACTTATTGAATTAATTAATAAATTCCTTTAAAATGATTAACCATTGATTTTATTTAAAATTATTTTGTTAAATATTTCACCCAAATAGAACGCATTGTCCTATTAATTTAATTGATTTAAAAAATTTTAAAAATCTTCTTAAGGGGCTAGAGTGATATTCCGATGGGTAGGGTTTCTATCTTGCACACGCCTGACCTGGGTTCAATCTCTGGCATCCTATATGTCCCCCAAGCTCCTCCAGGAGTAATGCCTGAGTACAGAGCTAGAGTAACCTCTGAGCATCGCTGAGTGTGACCTAAAAAGCAAAAAAAAAAAATGCTTCTTAAGTTTAATATATGCAAATAACAGAGGATATTTGCGTAATTATATTCAAAGAAGTTAGATTGGCATCAAGCTCTAACCAAAACTATATTTATATAGTTTCAAAATACCAGTACAATGTTTTTCAATGCCTTACAAAGATATAGCGTTACAATTAATTTCAAAAGTAAAAAGAAAATATATCGGAAAACATAAAATACCAAGCAAGTGAAATAGTTGTAATTTCCCAAGGGAAAATTTAAAAGTATAAATAATGTGTAGAATTGAAAAATGTACTTGCTTTATATAGAAAGGTTCTTAAGTGAGGAGTAGATGTCATCCGTTCATTTGAGGGGCAATAGTTCATCTGTGTTATCTACTATACTAAATTTATTGATTTTTTCCCCATTCTATTCACTCATTCAGGAAAATCATGAGAACGTAGTTGTAATCATTCTTAGAAAAGCATGGCTTTCTTTAATCTTAGAGTTATCTATATAGAGCTCTAGAAGCTGACCAACCATCTAATATATGTCTTCTCAAGCCTGGAAAACTGAGACTCTGCAACCCAGAAATCAGACTTTCTTTGTTTAACAGCAATCCTTGAAGGAACATTTTCATGTCATTGCAGATCCCCCATGCCAGACGGAGCTCGGCAATATCCAGAAGCGGCAAGGGGTAAAGCAGCTCCTAGGTGAGTAATAGATCATTCTTTTGAAACCTTTATTGCCTACATAAATAACCCCAGGGAAACAGCAACATAAAATCAATATTAATCCAACAAAGATAGACTACACTGAACTTCAGCAGCAGAATTTATGAAGTTTTTGAAGGTCATTAAACTTGCTTTTATTATCCTACCTATCGAAAGATATTATACCTTTTTATTACCCTAATATAATGTTCATTTTAAAAGTTATTAAGTGAAAACAAGATTTGAACAATACTAAACTTACAGCTTCAGCAGAAACTTCAGCTCTATTTCTATACTTAGCAATTCAAGAATTGATGACAAAAAACTACTTGGTGAAAATTAGAGAGATAAGAAAGACATATCCAGAGAACTTCAGGGAAATTATTTTAGCATATTATTGTGTTTTTCATGACTGGTTTTTACTAATTTACTTTAGTAAGAAAATTCATGTCTTAGATTTATACGTATATCATTCCAGATTTATTAAAAATCTTTATATTTAGAATCTTTGATTATCTACAGGATACTTTTTTATTTGATTATCTTATTCTTATAAAACGCAGGTTTAAATAAAACTTTTTGAATAATTTTTTATAAATAACTGACATTTTTTACTATATCTCAAACAATATATTGTCATTTCAAAAATTTAATATTGCTACAATACTATTGATAAGCCATAGAAATTATTTAGATTTTGTAAGTTTCTTCTCACTGGCAAAACTGTTTTATTCTCCTTTTCTTTTTTAGGATGCAAGGCACAATACATGTGCAATGATTTCTGTTTTCTCATTTTCACATATTTTAATGTGTTAGTGAACTTTGTAGCACCTAAATTTGTAGTGTTTCTGTATATTACTGCATCATATGTTGATATGCTATCTTTGTGATGTTTGGTAGAAATATTTTATATAAAAATCTAAAGTTGTAAAGCAAATTTTATGTAAAATTTTTAAATTCAAAGGATCATAATGATGAATACAGTGGAGTATTTTTTATTATTTTCATAGCTTTGGTTTAAGATGCATGCTATGTTGAATCTCACAAATGGGAAGAATATATTCATACGTAGGTTAGTTTGCTTTTGTAAGTGAAATTTTAGCCGTGTACAATGGGAAAGGTCATTAAAATTCAACTGAAAGATAGTTTAGACATCAAGTTCTCTTAGTGACAAAAATATTAAAATTGAGGTTTCGATTATATGAAGTTACAAAACTGAAAACACATTTGTTCCCATGTGGGAGAGTTCACCTTTACTTTTGTTAGGTAATTGAAAGGCATTGTTAAAGAATACTTGTTGCCATCAAAATTGCTTCTGATTTGAGTAGAGTACAGAAATTTATGTGGAAATGATTTATTGTCATAGAGGGGGAGGGTGCCATCTGTTCCTATTGCAAATAAGGCTGGGTTAATATCTGAAGTTGTAGCATAATAGTGAATAGTGTTCACTTTCACTTACAAAGTATACTAACATACAGTAAAGTTAATTAAATGTTCACAGTCACTTTACATCATATCATTTTTGTATCAAAGATGTCAAATCTTGTAATTATTTTAGGAGATAAAAATAACAAAAGTTGAAAATTTTCATATTTTTTCCTGATCTTAAGTCTGCAGATGTTCTCAAATTTTCCTTTATAGTGCTATTTTGTCTACCTCATAGAAGGAGTAGCATTTCCAATAATTCAATATATGTAACTTTTCAACAAAATGCTTATCTATAAGACCTTTGGAACTTTTTAAAGATTTAAGATCATTGTCTAATATAGTTGCAAAACTATGAGTTGTATATTTATTTTTTATATTTATTTTCTCTTTTCTTTATCTAAGTAACTAGAATTTATCTGTCATTGAGGAAAAAAATGGTTTGTTCAAGATTTTTTAAATGATTTTGAACAAGTTACATATAACAGTGTTGGAGAGTTTGTTGAAGAATTTGTATTTATTTGTAAATCATTAAATATTTAAAATAAGTGATTGCTTAGTGACATGTTAAATATAACAGATCTGAAAGTAATTATCTTTCTTCCACCAGACTGAAAGTTTGAGTAGTTGATAAAATAATCAAAAGCAGAGGAAGGCAGTATTCCCCAATTCCCAACACAGAGGGTACAGTATAGAGCAAAAGGATACAGTAGTAAATACATGCATTCACACACATCACACACACACACACACAATGGAAGGACATAGAAATCATCCAACTTAGAGGGCTTTATGTTGGAGAGTCCCATAGGGAAGAGCTTAGAATATATGAATGAAAATCCAGGGACATTAGCCCTGCTAAAAGTAATGAAAAGAGCTGATAGATACAACTAGTGAGTGACCTCAATGACAGCCCAGCACTCAGCTCAAGGTCAGATTTTTTTTTTAGTGGTGTCTCTGACAGCAGCACCCTTCTCTGGGTGATAAATAGAAAGATTGAACTGACAAAAAAAGAAGTGTAGAAAGTTCTATTGACAAGAGCCAGTCCTGTGACTGCACTGGCTGACCTGTCTTTTTCTACATGTGTCACTGGTAGCTGGATTCAGCACTCCATATGTGTGTCATGAGTACATGTCATGAGTACATGATGCCCACTAAAGAAGTGATCCTTCATAATCTGTGAGTGTTCTGTCTCACAGGGCAGTATGTCCCCTTCTGTGATGAAGATGGTTATTATAAGCCAACACAGTGCCATGCCAGCGTGGGACAGTGCTGGTGTGTTGACAGATATGGAAATGAAGTCATGGGATCCAGAACAAATGGCGTTGCCAGTTGTGGTAAGGAAGACTTCCTGTTCAATTATTTCTCTAGCACAGAATCGGTTATATAAGAATCTTACTCCTTCGTTCCAACATTTAATGAGGAACCTCAGTGTATACAAAAAACTATAGGCTATTCCAGGGGCTGAAAAAAGTTTGCTGTCCTATTAAAAACTGCTATAATCAGTGAACAAAATGATATCATTTGGTTATTTTAGGGGAAATAATTAAAAGACAAATTGCCTCTCCTACTTCAAATGCAGAAAGAATTTTTGACTTTAATGTAAGACAAATCTTTAACATTCATACAATATTATGAATGCTATGAACACTAGTGTGTTCTCTGTCCCTGTATGGTTCCAAACCTTTCAAAGAGTTAGCACACAGTGTATGATATCTCTATATATACATATATATACATATATATGTGTGTGTATACATTTATATATACTTTTCCACACTCACACACACAGTCACGTGCACCTTCAAAAATACGTATCCTAGGAATGAATGGACGTGTTTCAGGTAAGTCATCAAAAATGAAAATAAAGAACTTGGTAACTCATATTCTAGAAAAATATTTTGTCTCCCTTATGTAATTTTCAGAATAATAGACTATCAAGAAATAAATGATGAATACTGAAAATAAATACATTCTAGGGCTGGAGAGATAGCACAGCGGTTAGGGTGTTTGCCTTGCACGTGGCCAACCTGGGTTCGATTCCCAGCATCCCATATGGTCCCCTGAGCACCGCCAGGAGTAATTCCTGAGTGCAGAGCCAGGAGTAACCCCTGTGCATTCGCCGGGTGTGACCCAAAAAGCAAAAAAGTAAAAAAAATGAATACATTCTAATAAAAAGATGAAAATAAACACATACTGAGATATGTATGCATTGCCTCAGTATAAATATTAATAAATATCTTACAATTCTGTCATTCCTGTTCATTTATATTGCTGTTGAAATAATTTTCCACAAATGAATTCTCTGTCTTTAAGTAATACATTAATTACAGTTCTGAAAATCTGGAAGCGTATCACCTTAAACTAAGCAGTAAGGTGTGTCTTCTGGAGGCTTTGAGAAGAAGCTGATCACTTTCCATTTTAGCATGAGGAGTCCAGTGAATTTTAGCTCATGGACCACCTGCCTTCAAGTTCAGTTAGCTATACTGCAGGTGTTCTGTAGTCAGGTATTCCTGAGCGTATCAAGGAAAGGAGTCTTTGGTCTTAAAGACCCAACTGATCAGTGGGGTCTACCCAAATAGCCTAGAAAAATCTCTGCATCTCAAGGTCTTTAATGTAGTTACATCTGCAAAATCCCATTTGCCATGTACGGTCATAGATTCACAGGCTTTAGGTATTAAGAAATAAAAATCTTTGAAAAGTAATTATTTGACCTAACTCTGGAGGAGAAAAAAATAATAATAAAATTCAAATTGTTGATTCCTATAAAAATTGTACTGAGATCACTTACCTGGAATCTAACACATCAGATGTCAATGATTGCTCATTGTATTTCATGAATTGTAATGTGTGAAAGAAAATGGGTTTTTATCTTTGTTAACTAATTTTAGATAAAATTAAAATTATATCAATTTACCCAATTTTCATTTATCCATCAGGGATTATTCATGATTCCATAAATAAAATTAATACTTATTTCTTTTCTAAGCTATTGAATTTGAAATCTCTGGAGATTTTGCAAGTGGAGACTTTCATGAATGGACTGATGATGAGGATGATGAAGATGATATTATAAATGATGAAGATGAAATTGAAGATGATGATGAAGATGAAGGGGATGATGATGATGATGGTGATGACCATGATGGATACATTTGATTGTTGAGAGCTGAGATCAATAAATTCTACTTTCTATCATTTGCAAAATGATAGCCTATTGATAATTATCTTCTTGCCCCTAACACAATGATTCTAAAACTTGCGTATATTTTGTATAATTATTTCAAATACTGCAACTAAAGTAATAGAACTCTGTTTAAATAAAAACCATATACTTTAAGTTTTTATATGCCTTAGAATAAAAGAAAACACATGTGGAGTCTAGCCAGCCAGCCAGAAGTTATAAAGAGCCACTGAAATAGACACATTTTCATAAGTACAAACTATATAAATTTCCCACAGAGGAAACAAACAGTGCTTGAGGTCATTTATATTATTTTACTAAGAACGATTCCACGTTAAATTTGTATCAACTTCTTAGAGACTTGGCCCCAAGGATTTCATAAAGATATGCATGATTTTAATTACAATTTCAAAGTAGCATCTTGCAAAATCAACAGTGAGTTCATGGCGTCTGAAGGGATATCGCAGGGTAAGGAAAAAAAATGACAATTGTAAAGTCCTTCATCATGTTTACATTAATAGTGATGTTTTTAGTTATGAAATCATCCTAAATTTATAGGACATTTTTTTAAATGGTAAGTATGTAAGACTTTGGTTTCTGAAAGTTGAAAAAGTAGTTGAACTTTCTAATTTTAAATTTCAATTGAATGGCAATCCCATCTACAATTCTTCTATATTCTTAAATGCACGTTTTCTTTATCTCTTGCTTTTATCTCTTTTATCTCTTTCTGACCAGCAATTTAGGGTGCAGAGTTTAAAGAAAGAAAAAAAGCAAAAGGTTCATTAAAATATTTTCACAAAAAAGTTTGCCCTTTGCCCCATTGTTAAATTTATAATTCTTAAATCTTATTTTATTTCCTATTTTAGAAAAAATTTTGCATTTAATCTTAGAATTCTGCTATTTTCATTTTTAGTGTCAATACTTAGAGAACGTATTGTTATGGTGCCTTGCAAAATAGAAATAGAAAGGTTTAGCATGCATACCAATATAGGACATTAGGCAATATATAAGCACACCTACTTAACAAATTAATGCCAATAAAGGTACTGCTGCTGGAATGAAGAAAATGGAATATGTTTATATCTCTTCTTTTCTATCCTTACATAATTGCCATGTGGACTTGTTTATGATTATTGTGTAGAGTAGCATTTAAAATTTAACTGTAACAAAAATTACTTTGTTATATTTAAGTTAGCATGTGAATTGGGTAAAGTTTTTGGCATACCATCACTTTTAAGTATACCAGACTTCTGATTTTGTGCTCAGAATCTAAATGGAAAAACCTGTTGAATGTTATGCTTTGGTGTCTTACACAGTAAACTAACTGGTTTCCCGATATTCAGTTCATTGAACAGAAAACTGATAGAAGCTTTCCCTTTGGCTTATTTTCACTAAAAAATAACCTTTATTGTTGACTTTATGTAATACTTAAAGTATAATGCATTTTCTTTTTTACTGTTTATGTATAGTTTACAAAATAAAGAATCTTGTAACCAAATTAAACTGTACCTTAATAATTTTCTGAACCACACAGAGTGTTCTTAGTCAATATCTGTGATTTTTAAGGTGGTATACAACAAAGTTAGAAAGTTTTGAAAATGTTTGATTTTAATATCTTCATAATTTTAAAGTTTTTAAAAATTCTTATTTCGCATAATATTAAAATATGATATTATTTTCTTTTTGAGGATATTTTATAACCCATTTTGTGATATCAGAGTTCACATAGTTAGCAAATATCTATGTTGAAGAGTGATCTACTGTTATTTAATATGTATATAGAAGTCACAAAGTATAAGATGGAGATGAATTAAGCATGAACCAATGAAAAACTAGTTCTAAATAGAAGAGGGGAAGTGAACTTGAAGTTCAAATCAAATACCATGTTCTTGAACTTATTTTCTTTTTTAAAAGAACTATTCCTTCAGATACTATAAAACAAATCAATTATATAGAAAATATAAAATTATAAATATTTATAATATTAAATTAATATTACATATTTAACATGTATTTACATGCAACATATATTTTGATGTGTGTATATGTAATTGTATTTGCGATATATGGTAGGTCTTTTTCATTTATGTCATTTGAAGATACTGATTCAATGCTTAGTTACTCTGAAATATACATATATTAAACACCAAATATAATCCAAGACATTAATCTTAGCATTTGGACATATTGGTGAAAAAATAATTATGAAGTTAATATCCTAGCATGGAGTATAAGCGATAAATTTATACTAGCAAATGACATGACTTAATTGCATTCACCAATGGGGGAGAAAATCAGTTAAATCCTGTATTTAACACCGATAAAAAAAAATAGTATTGAACTCTCAAAAGGAGTCCCTTTTAAAAATCCAACAATCAAAGTACTATTTTTATTAACGAGAACTACTGAAATCCTACTGTTACATTTTATTCTGTCTAAATCAAATTCTGATGAATAGGTTTAAGGGTATACTATAGGGCATAATTTAAATCCTGTTTCTAGTGTTATTACAGGGAGCAAACATAGTTTCAAATTAAGAGATATAACACATTCTGAATCAAAAATAAAATTTCAATTTGTTAGTGAAAAGAACTGGTAACATTCAAAAATTAAATGTTCCTGTGATATAAATCTGAGGTGGTAATTTATTAATAAATTTTGTTCATCAAGTATTATAATTTAGTTATGCTGTATAATGCTAGTGAAGACATATGGTCAATTAAAAACAAACATAATAAATTTAATACTGATAAATAGGACTTGTGGCCTAAGGGAAATCCTTTATCTCTTACATTCTTTAAAAAAAAAATGAAATCAGTCAAGCCAAAAAGGAACATAACATGAGGCTGACACCTAAGGATAGTAGATACACAGGGCAGACAGATTGCTTCATAGCTGGAAGCCTGCCTCATGAGCAAAGGGGAGAAGGCAGCTGGAATAGAAAAGGGATCACTAAGAAAATGATGGCTTGGGAGGAACTGGTCGGGATGGGAGATGTGTGCAGAAAATAGATAAAGGACCAAACATGATAACCTCTCAGGGTCTGTATTGCAAACCATAATGCCCAAAAGTAGAGAGAGATTATGGGGAATCATGTGTGCCATGGAGGCAGAGGGAGGGTGGGAAAGGGGGACTATACCGGGGATATTGGTGATAGGGAATGTGCACTGGTGGAGGGATGCGTGTTTGATCATTGTGTGATTGTAACCCAAACATGAAAGCTTGTAACTATCTCATGGTGATTCAATAAAATTTTTAAAAAGTAAAAAAAGAAACAAAGAAAGAAAAAGAGAGAGAGAGAGAGAGAGAGAGAGAGAGAGAGAGAGAGAGAGAGAGGCACTAGGATTGAAGCTGGGGGTATCTGTTATGTCAGTGTCATTCATCCCTAGAGGAAGTCAAGTGCAGTGTGACTTACGGGACAGCTCTAGACTCTGGAGAGCTTGCATGCACTCCATTCGGTTTGGGGGGAGTCTTTTTGCACCTAGTTAGAATAGACAATTCCTATGCCTCTGTTGTTTCAACTGAAAAGGAACTAAATAAATGTGAAGTGACTCCTTCCAAAAATATTAAAATCCTCCAATTTTCTTAATCAGTTAATAAAACATGAACAGAACACATCATAAGAATATTTGTGCTTTGATTTCACATGAAGTAGAGAAGATGTAAATAGTAGCTCACAGTAAAATGTTGATTTATAGTCTGTTCTTAAATTTATTAAGGGGGAATTAGAGCATATGATAAATATTTACTTTAAAAGAAGACTGGTAATGGCATATTTGAATAAATGAATAATAGTATAATAGTATGCAATGGAAAATTCAGTACTGTGCATTTTGTCTACTTTGTGAAATCACTAATACTTGGGGGGAAACAGAAAAACTAAACAATCTAAATGGAACTATAACCATCAAAGGATATTCCTTTGTTTTGTCTAACATGTGCATATATGCGTACATACACAATCTGTCAAATTTTTGTCTTGAGTTTTATAACTATCAATTTGCACTTATTTCTATTTTATTCTTCCTAATGAATGAAATGTAATGGGTCATATTTCTCAGATGCAGTGAGAAAGTACAAATTCAGAGTACTGTAGTACAAATATGTAAATGATTTATGAGATCCCTATAGTTTATTCTTTTTAACAGTGTTTTAAAGTTGATAACTGACATTGGGATTGATATAATAAAAATAGCATTCATTCATTCTGGTATTTATTTTTATATTAAAATGCCAATATTTTACTTCCACAACTCAAAAATATTTCAAGGAGCAAAGTTTTACTTCATAAATCTTGTATAAATAATTGAGTCAATTAGCACTTCAGGGCTGGAGCGATAGCACAGCGGTAGGGCGTTCGCCTTACAAGCGGCCAACATGGCCGACCCGAGTTCGATTCCTCCGCCCCTCTCGGAGAGCCCGGCAAGCTACCGAGAGTATTCGATATGCCAGACACAGTAACAACAAAGTCTCCAATGGAGACGTTACTGGGCCCGCTCGAGCAAATCGACGATCAACGGGAGGGCCTTTACATTTACCTAACACTTCAGAAAGAATATATTAAGCTTCAGGTAGATATATGCATGTGACATTCCTCCTAGAGTAAGGCATTTGAATTTTCACTATTATATTTCCACCATTGTGACTTTTTGTAATATATACTAATTATTAATAGAGTACATACCTCAATAAAAATGGCTATGTCAAATTAATGAATATTATTATGAAACATGATTTGAGATGACAAAATGAAAAGTTATATGTTAAAAGATAAAAAAAATTTCCTCACCTTTATAAACCCTGTAATATTCACTCTTTCAAAAGACACCATTGGAGAACTTGTTTTTAATGTGTTTTCATTGATAAATAATCCCATTAATCTTGAAACACATATAAACACATACATACCTGCATTTGAAATGATCTTTTTCACCTTTCTCATCAATCAAATGATACGTAATGTACTGACCTAGAGGATTAATGTGAATGTTCAACGAAATGAATAACACAGAAGCTTGGTGTCTGTCTTGTCTTAGGTGCCCATTAAATGCTAATTTTTTTCTGCTAAGTCTAAAGTAGGCTAGTGTCATTTAACTGAAGGTTACAAGATATGCTGACAAAATTAGCTTTTTTTTCTTAATGATCTATTGACATTCATCCAATAAAGTTATCTAATTTATAATACCTTTATATACTAAATAGGGCTATTAAAAAGGAACTTTCTGAATAAGATTACTGTTTGAATAAAAATAAATTAATGCCTGAAAGGGCAAATACAAAGTACATGCAATCATTTTATCATAATTATATAGTATAGGAAAATCATAACTGGACTAGAAAATTTACTAAAGTAGTAAAGGAGGATGCCTATAGGAGCCTTTATACTAGAGTATAATGGAGGGAAAGAACAAAGAAGAATGAAGTTAAGGGGAGTGGGGGAGAAGAAGATGAGAAAGGGAAGTAATGCGAGAACAGGGTCAAGAGCCATGGTTATAATGGTGATATGGGAGAGCGGTACAGCTATATCTCCAAGGCACAGATGACATTGAAAACATGAGATCTAAAGTATCACCAGAGAACCTTGAAATGTGCCTGTTAAGGTCACAAGTTGAAGGGGGTGATGGAGTATGGAAACACTAGTGGAGGGAAGTTGACACTGGTGGTG